CAGGCCGGGGCGGTGCCGCATGGTCAGCCCGTCTGGGTCAGTCCCCGGCTGTGCTCCGGGGCCTGCCTGTAGGAACTTGTGTTCAGCCTCCTGCCCTCCCCGTGCGGCTCCCTGCCGGGAGTCCCGCTGGCGCTCAGGCTCCTGGTGCAGCAGAGGGATGGCGAGGGCTTCTGGCTAGGCCCGGGCGTGCGGGAAGAGAGGACGGAACCTGGGGACAAGCTCCATAGAGAGGAGAAGGTATAATATCTTGTCAGAGGAGTGATTTCGTCTGAGTTGTTATTCTGATGTCAGTTGAGAGAGTGAAGCGTTTATAATCTCCAAGGCTCTTTCCTGTGACTGCGTGCTATAGGTGACAAGGTTTCCTGTAGGAGACCTGCTAAAGGTGAGGGTGGCACCTTTCCACTTTCTGTTTATCCAATTTCGTGTAGCCTGTAAGTAACAGACCACTGGTTTTCCACAAAATGAAGGTGGATTTATTCTGAATGGCCAGCGTGTTTTGACAGAGGGCTGAATTCTGCTTATGACATTGTCCATACTAGAAACCACAGCACTGTATGCTTTTTGTGTGATCTTTGCCTGTTAGTGGGAGGGAGGTGTTCGCTAAGGTCAAAGATTGTCTGGCCAATTTGTAGTAAAATCTGACTCCAAAATATTTTACCAATTGATTTTACTGGAAGTTAGTGAGTTCTTGTCAAACTTTTTTGAGCTGTTATTAACATGTAGTTCAACAACAGTTGCAATATTAGACTAGGAGTTGAGAGCTATTTCTCCATAAGCCTAATACTATTTTTAGTCCTTACCAAGATATGTTTTATTAGTGCTTTCTTCTACAGATTCTTTTTCATCTTTCTGCTTTCGTTTCTGTTCATCAGCAGCTTGTTTTTCAGTTCCTGGATGTCCACCATCACTAGTTTATCTAATAAAGTGATTGTAGGAAAACAACTGAAAGTTTCATTACCGGTACCTTAACTGGAGTAGCAGATAGACTGTTAAGGGGATTAAAAATTCACATCTGATTTTTATTTTTTGTTTGTTCATGCTGCATGAAGTCATCAATTTCAGTTACTTGCTGTGAAGGTAAATTCATACCTGTAACATGTATAAATTAACTCATTTAAAGGTTTTTTTTTTCATTTTTAATTTTTGGTAAAAATTGAATAGACCAGTAGGGCACATAATCAAGGGTATTGGAGGGATTTAACACTTATATTTTAGTTCTTCTGGAATTTACTACAGAAATAGATGATCATGTCAGTATTGGAACACCTACTTTGGTTGCTAGTGCTCTAGCACTGGTTGCTAGTAAGAATACTACTTTGGAGTTAAAAAGTTGTATTTTCCACAAGCCCTTTCTTCAGAGAGAATAGTTCAGCACTTGTGTCTGTGGTGATGTACATGGAGAAAAGCCAGTGGTGTACGTGAGAGATTACACCATGAGTAAACTAGTTCAGTTTTCTGTAGGAAAAAAATATCTCCAATATTTTGCTATCCTATACATTACAGTAATGTTTTTTAAATAATTTGTCTTCTTCTGGGTGAATCAGATGGTATTTTTATTGCTAACAATTGTCAGAGGTTTATATCTGCCTGCGCAAACATACTTCAGAAAGCAGCATTACATTTGGTTTTAAAAAATCTTAACATTTGAATAGCTTATTCATTTCATGTCCCTATACTCGACACTGGTGAGGCCACACCTCTAGTACTGTGTTCAGTTGGGGGCCCCTCACTGCAAAAAGGACATTGAAGTGCTAGAGTGTGTCCAGCAAAGGGCAACAAGTCTTGTGAAAGGTCTGGAAACATGTCTTATGAGGAACAGCTGAGAGAGCTGGGTTTGTTTAGTCTCAAGAAGAGGCTCAAGGGGGACCTCATCGCTCTCCACAACCACCTGAAATGAGGCTGTAGTGAGGTGGAGGCCTGTCTTACCTACCGTGTCTACGGTGAGAGGACAAGAGGAAATGGTCTCAAGCTGAGACAGGGGAGATTCAGATTAGATATTAGAAAAAAATTTTTGCATTTTTGGGGGGGTCAGAATAGGGCTGCCCAGGGAGGTGGTGGTCACCATCCCTGAAATTGTTTAAGAGGTGTCTGGATCTGGCACTGGGTGATGTGGTTTAGGGATAGTGGCAGTGCTGGGTTGATGGTTGGATTTGATGGTCTTAAAGGTCTCTTCCAACCTTTATGGTTTTGTGATTTATACTTCTGATTACCCAGATGCTTATAAGTGTTCTCTGTATCGTTAAGTTATTGACAGTCTGTGGATTGGAAAGTGGAATATATTTCAATCTCTTCACTATGAATGTTTTGCAAGGATGTTATATTATGTCCTCTTTCTTGCCTACCATTCTGGATTGTATTGAGGGAGGCTGAAAGAGGTGGGGTATTGAGGACTTTTTAGAAGTGGGAGTTTGTATGTCAATGTTTTTAAAACCCAGGTCTTATGCATATATATTTGCAGTTTTAAAAGTTAGAATTGAGTATGTTTATTATTGAGTACAGAGCATTGTGAAATTGCATTAATCTGGGACCACAGCAACTGAAATAACCCTTTGGTTAACCTTTTGCCTCTATTTCTAAGTCCTTTTAGCTTCTAGATCTGCCTTAGTTAAAACTTGTGGGTTTTTATTTGTTGAGATCGTCTTTTTCAGCAAGTGAAGAAAATCCATTCCCATTAATGTTGGTATAATTAAGTAACAAACTCTGCGTGAGTGTAAAAGTATCTTTTACTTTTGTTAGAAATGTTAAAAACTGTAAAGTAATAGTAGCGAACTTAGATATATCTGAATTGGCTCATGCTTAGGTGAGCTACCCTTAGAACTCTGAGTATAGCAGTACAAATATAAAATTTCATCTTCTGAATCTATTTCTAAAAAAATTTAATTTCTTAGGTAATGGGCCTTCAGATGCATTATGAATCTACTCGCGTATTAAAAGGCTGTCAAGTAGCTGGTATGGTATGCCTCAGTTCATGTTGGTAGATTAATAAGGATTAGGCTTGATATATGGAATGTCTGTTTTGTGCAGGAGGATGTTTAGATTTGGGAGGGAAATTTTTTATTTGTTTGACAGCTCTGGATGTTTTTCTCCTTTTAGATTCTTCTATTATTTCCCCATCCCAAGACTGTAGGTATAATTTCATTAGAGAATGTACTGACTCAGAGAAAGGTTTTGATACTTAGTGTGGTCCAGGACATGTAGGAAGTAAATGTTCCTGTAATGGACAAAATTAAATTCAACTAAAACTTGCAAGCAAGTATTAATAGTATATAAAGAATTGATTGAACCCTCCATAGAATAGAGTAGGAAACGTAATTTCTATACTCAGATAGTTTTTGACACTTACTAATCCAAGGACCTTCATTTGGGCTTTGACATCAAATGTTGTGATGTAAGTTGGGAAAGAGATGTATCTCTGTTTAACAGTCTTTTATAGTCTTCTAAAGAGAAAGTCCTGAAAATCACCAAGGACTGCTACCCAGAGAGTATTTGGGAAGGAAACAGGTTTATGGCTATGTATTATCAATACCAAAAATATATTGTAAAATAAATGACTCTTCAATATATAAATTGTCAAGGTGTAGGGAGTGATGTCTGAATCCGGTGCTAACATATATCTGGATATAGTAATGAAGCACATGGTCTTCAGGGGGAAAAAAACCATTTAATTACATGTTCAAAATGTGAGAGAGTGGGAATGTCTTTTTTTAAACATATTAAAGTAGTTTCAAAGCCATGAGATTCAGAGAAAGTAGAGGGAAAGAAAGATGGACAGCTATCTGAAGGAAAACTAGCAGTAAATTGAACAGTAGACAAAATCAGTCAACAATTTGAGATTATAATTAATGTACCTTATTACGCATATGGTTTATTTCTATTATGGTTATAACGACCTACTCTTAAAAAAAATTTTAAAAAAATCCCACAACTCTGTTGCACTTGCAATTTCTACATTTATTCAGTGAAAACAGGAATCAGGAAGATTAAAAAAAAACAAATAAATTGTGTCTAGTTAACACTAACTGGTAAGTTTTAGACATAAATACAATTTCATTAAATTAGTTTGCAAGCATGGTGTACTCCAATAATAATAATAAAAATAAGAAAATATGAATAAGTTTTTAAATTAAAAGATAGCAGTGTATTTGATAAGAAAGGTTCTTCATGTATTAACAATAAATTTGTTCTGGATTAATATCAGTCTAACTGAAGAGTAAGATATATTGCATGATTTTTGATACCTGGCTTCTGAAAACTTTAACAATTTATGGGCAGAGAGGGTATTTTTAAGACTCTCTAGGTAATAACTTTTTCAACAAAGAAGTTCATCATGTTTGTGGCAGTTTAGCAATGTTTCCTTTGAGCTGTATGGTCCCTGACAGAAACTAGTGTAATATATTTCTTATTCATTCCGGATATGCTTAGGAAAGTCAAAGTCTGCCTGGAGTTGAATCTGGTGAGGGATGTCAAAGGCAATAAGAAGTGCTTCTGCAAATACATCAGTAGCAGGAGGACTATGGAAAATGTGGTCTCATGGCTGAATGGGACAGGGGCTCTGATAAACACAGAATGTGGAAAAGGCTGAGGGGTACTGAAGGCCTTCTTTGTTTCTGTCTATACTAGCAAAGACCTTCAGGAATTGTAGAATGCAGGGAAGAGTCTGGAGCAGGGAAGATGTACACTTGATGGAACAGATTTAGGTCAGAGAATACTTGAGTAAACTGGACATAGATAAGGCTCTGGGCACTGATGGAGTGCTGAGGGAGCTGGCTGATATCACTGATACTGTTGATAATATTTGATTGATCATGGAGACTGGGATAAATGCCTGTAGACTAGAGGAAAAATTTTAAAAAGGCCAGTGTGTTGTGCTAAAAAGCTGCAGTCTCATTAGTCAGATTGTACCGTTGCTTCTGTCTTCAGAAGGGCAAGGAGTACTCGGGGAACTACAGGCTGATCAGCTTCACCTTAATACCCCAGAAGGATGGAAGGTGATGGAGTGGCTAATCCTGGAAACCATTTTAAGACACATTAAAGACAAGAAAGTGATCTGGAGTAGCCAGCATAGCTTTACCCAGGGGAAGCCATTCTTGACTAACCTGATAATGTTCTACTATGAAATGACTGGCCTGGAAGACAAGTGGAGTGCAGTAGATACTTGTTTCAGTAAGGCTTTCAGCAGTGTCTCCTGTGACATCCTCATAGAGAAGCTGCTGAAGTGTGGGCTGGGTGAGCAAACAGTGAAGGTCAGCATAAAACTTGCAGAAGAGATGGAGAAGGAAGATGGTGATCCATGGTGAAGTCTAATTGGAGGCTAGTAACTAGTGTATTCCAGGGTTCTGGGTACTGAGTTCAATCCTGTTCAACGTCTTCATGAATGATCTAGATGATGGGGTAAAGTGTACTCTCAGCAAGTTTGCTGATGACACAAAAGTGTGAGGAATGACTGATATGCCAGAGGATTGTGCTGCCATTCACAGGGACCTAAAAAGGCTAAAGAAATGGACTGACAGGAATCTCATAAAGTTCAGGAAGGGAAAGTATTAAGTCCTGCACCTGGGGAAGGTTAACTCTATGCCCTGGTGTCTACTGGGTGGCAAGCATCTGGAAAGTAGCTTTGGAGAAAAGTCCCTGGGGGTCCTAGTGGACACCAAGTTCAGAATGAGCCAGCAGTGTGCCCCTGTGGCATAGAAGGCTGATGGTATCCTTGACTGCATAAGGAGTGTTGCCAGCAGATCAAGGGAGGTGGTTGAAAATCCTGTCACTCTACTCAGCAGTGGTGAGGCCACATCTGGAGTACTTTATTCTGTTCTGTGCTTCCTGGTATAGGTGAGGCCTGGAGAGTCCAACAGAGGGCCACAAGGTTGATTAAGGAACTGGGGCAGGACTTATGTGAGGAAAGGCTGAGAGTACTGGGACTGTCCAGCCTGGAGAAGCATAAGCTTGGCAGGATCTTCTTCATCTATATAAGTACCTGAAAAGAGAGTGCAAAGAGGACAGACCCAGGCTCTTTTCAGTGGTGCACAGTGACATGACCAGAGGCAGCGGTCACTTGCCAAAATGCAGGAAGCTCTGCCTGATCATAAGGAAACAGTTTTTCACTGTGAGGGTGACCAAGCCCAAGTTGTCCAGAGAGATTGTAGAATCCCCCTCCTTCAAGATAGTCAAAAACTCTCTGGACATGGTCCTGTACAAGTTGCTCCAGACAGCCCTGCTTGAGCAGGCAGGGCTTGGACTTCATAAGTTTACAGTAAACACACTGATCCCTTCCTACTTGCCCCTGTTATCACATACATGAAAAAATTAAACGGAGGGGGTAACAGTCAACTCCCATGTCATCTCTTTTCGTTTTTATTTTTATTTTGTCTTCCTAGCTTGCAGTAAATACACAAGCAGTATTTGGGCAACCCACCAGCAACAGAGTTTAGGAAATTTTTAGAGGAAAACTGCACTGTACTACTGTAGAATGACTGCAAATAAAAGACCGCTTTGCCAGCAAGCTTTGAGAGTGGCATATTTTTCTTTGAATCATAATAAATATTTTAAAGTCTGTATTGATCCTTCACATCATAAATACACTTAAATCTCTACAAATTTATTAGCCTGATACATTTGTTTAGTGTATACAGAGCTGAACAACTTGTAAGATACAAAATGTGAAAAGGATATATTTGCACTTGTATGTAATGTGTGCAGTTAAAAGATAATAATTTTGTCAATTAAAATCAGTCTTTAATTGGAATACGCTAATGTAAATTTCTCTGTAGGAAGTTCTGCTTTCCAAATGTTAACTTTCCAGGAAAAACATCTGAATTCATGCAGTTTTTCAGAGCATGTAGAGAGTGAATTTAAATTTTCAACCTAAATGATAGTAAGTTGCTTATGACTTAAAATGGAAATAGACTTCACTCACTGTATTCCTGCTGCAGTTAATGATGATGGACCCTACACCTTGTTGCATCTCTAGGACTGCAGCAGCAGATTACTTCAGGATCATCTTTTCAAGCAGGCTGCTTATGCTGTTTCAGGGTTTTTGTTGGGGTTTTTGGTTTGGTTTGGTGTTTTGCTGGATGGAGAGGGGGTGGAGATAGGGTTGTTTTTTTTTCCTTTTGGCACCTAATACAATATATACTTTTTCACATAGACCAGGAGGCAGAGAAGGGGTGTGACTCTCCTTTTAGATAACTAGCCTGGTCTCAACACCAGCTACTCTAAAGCACTCTATGTGAAGTTAAAAGCAGCAAATGAAAAAAAAATTTAAAAGGGCCAATATGTTGTGCTAAAAACTGCAGTCTCATTTGTCAGATTGTGCTGTATGTGAACAGAGAAGGTAGCAGGCTCTTTGTCCTGTGGCTTCCTGGGTGAGCTAAATGGTTCCTGCAGCCATGCAGCTGACGTACATCTACAAGCATTGTCAGCTCACATCTAAGCTTTACAAAAATCTTCAGGAGAAGGAAAACAGGAAGGATGCTGTCTATTTGTAACATGCCTCTCTCAGAGATGGTGGTAAGTTGGTTTTTTTTTTTTTGGTTTGGAGGTGGAATACAAGAAATTTGGAAGTCAGATTATTTCAGACTGTTTTCAAAAGGAAACTAAATTCAGATTTTTCACATGAAGAAAAGGTACAAATGAGAAGAGAAAAAATTCTGAGATGAAAAAGAGGACAAATACACAATTTGGGAAGAGAGGGGAATTATGACTGGAACAAGTCTTGATTCAAGGTTGATTCTGACTGGGTCTGGGCACTTCCTACTTTCTCTGCCAGGGGTGACCTGTGGAGATTTTCGGCCTTTAGGAAGAAGTTGAATTGAACACTGCTAATATTCATTATGTTTGTGTCAGTAGCTGCCTGGGAACAATGTCTCTAAAATTTCTGTCTCTGCCAGTCCTTATCACCACTGTCTCGGTGTTCAGAGAATCACAGAATATTCTGAGTTGGAAGGGACCAACAAGGATCATAAAGTCCAAGTCTTAAGTCAATGTCCTGTGCAGGGACCAAACCTGTGACCTTGGTGTTATGAGTACCATGCTCTAACAAACTGAGCTAATCTATTGTCAGTGGGGTTAGAAAAGAAAAGAATTAATCAAAATTTAAATTCTAACAAAACTTGGAAAAAATTCATTACAATAATAGTAATAATATTAACTTTATAGGTAGTGTAGCTGACAGAAGATATCACAGGAGGGTTCTGGCAAGGAAAAAAACTTTCCCTGGAAAGGAAATTAATATAGGGCCATGACACTGTGGGGCACAACTAAATATGAAGGGAAATTCATGTTGGAATTGCAGAGGGATTTTAGCAGCTGTAACAGCATACAGCTCAGGCTGCCTAGTAAGAAAATTATTATCCCTCTTTTAAACTGTTACATGTAATACATGTGTGCAACCATACCAGTGGATTCTAAAATGCTAATAAAGTTATAGGATCGAGGAGAGTGTGGTGAAAGCCTATCAGTCTTCCCTTGTGTACTTAAAGTTACTGTAATTACCAAGTAATAAAACTGTCAAGATTTGGGGACACTGAGCACATCTAATTTTCCCAGCATCTCTGTTAGTCAGCGTGTATGCCAAACATTTCAAAGTACAATCGTATGAAGAGGTAAGAGTGGGGAGTGTTATTTATTTAAGCAGAGTAGTCTCTCATCTGCAAGTCTGCATAAATCCTACAGTGTACAAATAATTCTTTTTCTTTTCATTTTTGAAAGACAGCAAAAAGTTTCATTATTTGTATTTATGGTGTGGTGTTGTGCTTGCACATTCAGCATGTTGGGCTTGAAGACCACAGTTCTGGTCAAATGAAAAGTTTAGTTTTCTATCTCGCTGTTGGCTGGTGGTGGACGTAAGAGTATGATACTGAGATTAAAGGCAGCTGGTTTCATGATTACCTGTCTTTCTTCACCCTGTTACTCTTCTTACTGGTTCTGCATGTATCTTACCTGATTCTGTGGTGGTCTATATGTGTACTACATCTGCAGAAAAATAAATTAAAACAGGTGGGGTTTTTGCCAGTTTAGCATGAAAGAACAATTCAAGAGAGAGTCGAATGAGTGCTGGTGCTAGTCTGTGAGAGAAGGACACAATACACAGTAGAAGGAAAACGGGAAACAGCAATTGTATCTTTTAAAAATTACATCACCTTATGTTTCTATAGAACACACATCTATAAATTGAGATATATGTCAGGTAAAGTACTGTTCTTTATCCTTACACCAGTTGAGAGATCTTGATTATAATTAGATACAATTATTCATAAGTTGTGCTGTATAGAATAAGGCCAAAACTTAAAACTTACAGTGAACAGGCTTGTCTTTTTATTGATGCAGAGCTCTATTAGCTCTAGCATATCATATACAGTCTGTAACAACATTGTTTTTACATGCAGTTATTCTTTTGGTACAGATGGGGACAGGGGTTAATTATGACTTAGCTATGCATTTAGGACAGATTTTACTATTCTCATCTAATACGTATTTCTAATAAGTTAAAAGGCCTTATGTTCCCTTAGTGCAGTGCTTGGATCAGCGCTGTTATACTTGCATATCACTGAATATTCATGACTCTACAGTTGGTATGCATATGTATGTAAAAAGGAAGAAAGTTGGAATAAAATCTGGGCAGTGACTGTTTCACACATGATAAGCATAAGGTGTTTAATGCAAAATTTCAGGATTCTATCATCTGTGGTAAATTATATCAGAGGATGTAGAGCAGGCGTTCCTTCTGAAGTCCCTTCTACATATCTACTCAATCTTCATCCTGGCATCTCCATACCTGTCTGGTGATCCATTCATAGGAATCAGACAGGTAGGAGCAGAACAGAGACACAGCTGTAAAATGGGAATTTAAGTTAGATTACTTTATTTTGTTTGTTTTTTAGGTAGTTTTGAATGGAAGAAAGGTAAGGAGGGGCATGGAAAAGATGCATAAATTTGGAATTGATGCTGTGCTTGACAAATAAGGCGATGTGAGATACAATGCCCTTACAATAGTGAAAAGCAGACGTTACATATGTCATGAGGTGTAAGACCAGCTTTTCAGGTAAGTAACAGTAACCAGCAAAGGAGGAGTTATGACTTTAACTGCCCACAATGTGCTGACATCTGTGCATTCATGTTCTGTCTTTGGACCATTCAGAAATGTTGCTGCATAACTGCCACCAGATGATGTTTCACCTGTTTTACACAAAGGATGGCACATATACTAAGCTTTATGTCCTTTTTACTTTTATACATGCAATGCAATATTATTTTGTTATCCATCCTTTTATCAGAACTTTTAACGTTATCACAACCAAAATGTCTTCAAATGCAAGGATCTCCCCTTTTTGGGTGATCACATCAGCAGTTGAGATCTACATTTGTAGCACAAGGCATTCAGATTTTTCCCATTCTCCAATACCTCCTGCTTTAGTCAGAAATGTTGTCACTTCCTTACAAGGGGCTGTTCCTTCCCAGTTAACTATCATAGTTGTCACTGTGCAGCTACTTCAAATCTCTCTTCACCATCTTGATTCATCAATAGTAAAGGTAAGGCACTTCTCCAGATAATTCCCATTACCTAATTCCAAAATAAAAACAGTCAGTGTTTTGTATTGTACATATGTTTTGCTCTACATCTTGGTGATCAAGGGGTTTTTTTAACCATGTTTTTTGGAAAGCCTCAGGTTACAATGTAGCTGGTTTTTTAAGCTTTTGGGTTTTTATCACTGATTAATTAAAAGGAACAACAGGATTTCATTTAGTATATCAGAGAATGGGAATTTTTAAGCGGAACTGACACATCCCTTTACAGATGAATTTGTAATTTGATGTACTAAGAGAGGGGTTACAAAAGAGAGGAAATAAGATGAGGGAAGAAGAGAAGTAGGATACAGGATTAAGTAGAGTGATTGAACATTAATTTGTTACATGCTTATCTTCTTATTTATTCCAATAAATGAAAATTAGGGCTATATCCGAAAAGTGGTAGGATGATGCTGTCTCTGGCTTCTATGCTATGAGGAATACAAATGTACTTAGAGCTTTTGTAGCCTTGAATTCAACGCCACAAATTTTAAAAGGTAGTATTTTAAATATTAGTTATGTGGTAATTAGTCTGTCAGATCTGGTTGTTTGCATCTAATAATCTGTCTTTTATGAGTGTGGACTGATGACAAATTTTTCTGAAGTCCATAAGAACTCTTAGTGTTCAGAGTATCTTTAATGGTGGCCAATAGTAGTCTAGGTTGCTAGCATTTACTGAAGTATTACACTGACAGGGGGTTTTCATTTTGCAATAAATGCTGACAGAAACGACTGATATACAGCTTCTAACAGTGCAGCACTTTCCTACTGCTCTTCATACTGTTGTATCAATTCTGGCTCTTCTGAGCTGGTTATGATCTTGTAACTTGAAGCCCTAATATTTTAACTTCGTAGGGTAATTTATGGAAGGTAAACCAATGAGCTGCCATTATGTTTTTTTACTGTCTCCAGGCATTCAGCATTGGTTAATCTCTTGTACCTCATTTTATAGAATCTAAGTTTACTGAGTTAAAGTTGGAAAAGCAGTCTGTGATTTAAATGCATCTTTGTCTTGTACTTGGTCTTTGGACACTAAATGTAATTGTAGCATTTAGGATTCTGGGATTTGTTAGTAGTTGCTCACTCAATCTTCATAATGAAAATCTTAATTTTATCTGTTGGATTGATTTGTTACACAGTCATTCAGTGTTTTCCTTGACTTTGTCTATTTTGAGAAATAGTCCTTTCTTCCAGGAATGTAAGAAATAAATAATAGTTTCTGTGATTGCAATATGCTACTGGGTTTTCAATTAGTGTTAGTAGTTATTCCAAATGGTTAAAGAATCAATTTATGTTCTTTAGAAAATGATAGGTATTTGGCTGAAGTATATAGAAATCCAGACAGTAATACAAAATCAATCTTTTGTAAGGTTATTTGAGGTAATGATATAGCGATAAGTTAATTTTACAGTGATTAAGAGACAACACGGTTGGGGCTCTCAATTAGACTTTGATCTGAGGATATTTCTCTCTACACTTGATGAGCAAGAACGAGATGAGAATTAGTGGTAAGACATGAGGCTTTGAGCAGCTGGGGTCCATGTTCTGTGTTATGAGAGTTGGTGTTAAGGAAGATTTTAAAGTTAACTGAATACATATTGTTTGATTTCTCATCTTTAAAATTTATTGATTTTAAATTGACATCTAAAATATCCTCTGCCATTGAGAGTACCTGGAAAGAACAGTTAAATGGTATACATTTTCACCAGAAAAAAAAAAAACAAAAAACCAAAACCAAACCTCCAAGCCAATTAAAAAACACCCCACCCCACATTAAAAAAAATCTCAGCATTCTTGTGGTGGGTGGAAAGGTAGTCTTCGTTTGCTGTCTCTGGATACTGTAACTTTATGAACATAAAAGGAGGGATAGTAGACCAAGGGCATGACTTGCTCTTGTGCTCTCTCACACACCCGGTATGGCAACACTGAATGCATAATGCCAAGTGCATTGTAGCTCCTGAAGAGAAAAGGAACTATGTGTTAGTGTTATCTCCAGAGGGGGTATGATTCCTGGCATGTCCACTCTACATGCTCCTTCCCCATGCCTGAGCCATAGATCTCAGTGCTGGGACTGGACAGAATCTAGTCCATTGAAAAGGCTAAAAAGTTTTCCGGTTGTTTCTTTGTGTTGAGATACTTTGTATAATAAACTAAAATAGTAATAGTTAATGTTAAAGACACTTTATATATCAGGAATTTTTCCATGGCCTGAAAATCAAAAGAGTTGTCCAGGCAAAAATACATGATTAATGATGGATATAAAGAAATAGCATAGGAATGTAAGAATAAAATTGATGACTCTGAATAACAAAATAAGTTTCAGTTTACAAAGCAGAAGAAAAGAATCAGTGAAAGGATCCAAAAGTCTGAGTAAGAGGAGGCACAAAGGGATAGGTCCATTACCTAGATGTTATTAAATAAGAAAGGAGAACAAGTAACAGACTTTCAAAGACTGATTCTTTACTTCAGAAATTGTAAAAGAGATATATTGTGACCTACTCCTTTCATAAAATTAATCTTATACAGGAAATAAGAGTGGAACCAAAGCACAGAAAGAATAGCCTAAGGAATCTTAATATAGATGTGCTCAAGTGGCAAATCCTAATAAAATTCATCCTAGAATGATTGAGGAATTAGGCACCACTGATTTTATTTATTTATTTAATATCCCAGAGGGTGAAAATAGCCAGCAAAATGGGTTTGTACATGCCTGTTTTTGTGCCTGTTTATTCTTCTGTTAAGAGAATTATTGAAACTGTCAGTTTTGATTACAGATAAAGGTTTAGGAGTAAATAGTTTAGCAATTAATTTGTATCTAATAATGGGTAGAAGAGAGATTGTAAAACAACCAGTATGATTTGATGAGACCTGTTTGTAAGAAACCTCAGTCTGTTTCTCCTCTTAAAAAGGATCACAAGTTTAGGAAGAGGAAAATTTTAAGTAAAATACAGCTTGATTTTAACAAAGTCTTTTTCCCTACATAGAGAAACTAAGGAAATGTATCCTATCTCCATTAGATGCTGATATTATCAGCATCACGTTGAAAAGTTACCTCTACTGAGTAATTATCTGTAGTGCCCTGTCAAGATGAAAAGGCATTAATGAGTTGGATGATAGAGAGAACACATACTTAGAAATGTTACTCAGGATAGTAGCCAGAGAGGGGTTTAAAATTAGTTTGTTTTTTTTAACTTTGTTTTCAACATAAGATATGAATCCAAAAAACTCTTGATGGGTTTGGAGAAAATATTGAAAATCAACAAGATGAAAAGCAATGCAGGCAAGTATGAAGCACTGCATTTAACAGGACAAACTCAAATACATGAATCGAAAACAGGAAATAATTATTCAGAGAGAAAAGTGACAGAAAAAGATAAGAAGATATACTAGACCTCAAGGTAAATTCTAATATGCTGCTGGAAAAGAGGAAAGTTGTTTATTTGTGAGGTTTGTTTGGATTTTTTGTTTGGTTTGGTTTTTCTGGATGATCATACCAGGCATCTTGTAGGAAAGAGGATATTATCTAGTCTGGCAAATCTTCTGTGCGTAGTTGGCCCCCTCACATGCCTTGCTGCTTTTTGCTCTTGAGAAGGTGCAACAAAATGGAAATTCTTCTCTGTTGTTGTTACTGTTTTCTGCTGTGGAATGAAAAGCATCCTTCTTTGTAATAAAGATGCTTTAGATTGGACATGAGAAAAAGATTCTTTGTAATTATTAGAGTGATAAAACACTGGAGAACAAACTACTTAGAAAAACTGTGGAATTAGCTTTCTCGGTAGTTAAACACCTGTCAATACATTCCTGAGCCCGTGTTTGTGCTGAGGTAGGATTTGGTAGTCCCTTGTGGTCTATTCCATCCCTGCATAAGTATAATGCTCTGAATACATGTTTTGGCTGCCTGGAAGAGATCATCTAAAAGAGTTGGAGCAGTAAGGAACAAAGTTATTTTAGTAAATATATTTTTATTTGGTTTCCCAAAAAGCGTTTTTACAAATCATGAAGTTATTTTGAGACTTTTGCATATAGATTCATTTTTCTTTTAATGATTATGCTAGAAAAGCAGGAAATGCAATTGCAGTAGTTCTGAGATAGTAGAAACCCCTTGATTACTTATCCACAATGGAATAGTCCTGTGGAAAAAATGGCACCCAAGAGGTTACTTGGATTTGTATATTTCTGCAGGCAAAGTTTACAGACCTGTAAATTTAAACGTAGAATTTTTGTAGGCAGAATGCATTGACAGATGTCCGTGATGGTAATACATCTCATACTGATAGTTCCAGAAGAGGTCAATAATAATGCTTATATTGATAGCAGCAATGCAGGAGATGTTACTTGGTATTATAGCTAAAATCCATGTTATCACCTTAATTATAATTACATTAATATTGACAGGCTGTTGACAATACCCACATTACTATTGATAGATTTCTGTCAATAACATGTTTCCAAATAAAATATATTCATTCATAATTTGTACAATGCTCAATAACAGCACTAATATATATCAGCAGAAATTCCTCTTTCCCTAGTGATATACAATCATTATTTTTTTGTTTTGTAATGTACTGTACAAGTGTTTATTTGTTTAGTTAAAAAAATCCAAAACAGACAAAATATAGGGTTTTTTAAGAAAGAATCATATTAGTTTTTTGATTTGTTTTTTTTTCTGGGAGGCCATTCAATTTTTTTCTATGCAATATCTGTGACAGTATAAAATCAACAGAGAACCTTTCAAGTAGTAGTCTTTACTATTCTGTCTTAAAAGGTATTTATATAATAAGTTAATCACACATATAGTTTATCATATATTTGAATGTTGATACTTGTCTCTTTCATTACTGCGTCTATGATTCTGAGTTCTTAGGTTTTAAACTACTTAAAATAAGAGAGTTAAAACAGTAAGGATTTGACAATTCCTTATGTCCAGTTGGAATTTCTTGTGTAGCGACTTAACACACAGTTGTCTCTCTTTCTTTCACTTCAACTCACAGAAAAGTTTGACTTAATCTTCACTGCAGCCCTTAGGTAGTGGAAGATTACTCATAGATCACTTCTTAGGTGCCTTATCTTCAAGTTGAACAATCAAGCTCTTCTCATATATCAGGTCTTGGGGGTCCCTGATGGTATTAGTGACTGGGCTCTTCAGTTTGCTGACATTTCTTTTGTACTATTGATAGAAATGAGGCAAAACTGGAGGTATTATCCCAGGTGTAGACTCAACAATGCCAAGCGGAGGGTAATAAGCACATCCTCCAGTCTGCTGGCTATACCCATGCTAATACACTGCAAGGTTGCACTGGTGACTGTGTTCAACTTTTTGCCTACCAGAATCCTTGCATCCTTTTTTCAAAGTGGGTATACAGTCATAGAGGCTCCCAGCCTATAAGGATCAATTGACTTTCTTGTGTATTTCATGATCCATCATAATCCTATGTATTTGACACTTTTTCCTTGGATTTCAGAAAGTTACTGATGACCATTCCTCACTTGCTCAGGTTTCTTTAGAAAATATGGCTATAATGGGGGGAAAAATCTCTACAGATTTAGTCTACCTTACTTAAGAGAAATCTGCAACAGAAATTTCTCACAGCACGTGGGATAATGGAACACAGCTGGAAAAGATGGTTGAACTGATGCTGGAAAATCGTCTTAGTAAATGGATCAAGGAAGTTGTTTGATAAGATGTCCCTTTCGAGTAACTTCAGGATTTTTGAAGGAGATTTTGTGTATTGGGAATTGTATAGAACACTGAAACAAGTTGAACTGAGTGAAATGAGTAGAAGAGAAAATGAAGAAGACATTAGACTTCTAGGGGTTATGAGTGAATAATACTGAACCAGAGTGAGAGGTTCCAGAGCAAATGGTTATAAGAGGCTCTGGTTCCTAAAATGGTAGTGGGGTAAGACGAGGGGTAGAAGGATGGATAATCATTAGCACCCAAACTCTTGAAGTGATACAGTAAGATCTAGTAGGGGTTGAATTGACCCTTTGATCATAAAGTAGAGGAGTGAAGTTATTTGAGTAGTACTGAAAAGTGTTTCCTGTGCTTTGGTTCTTGCTACAGAACAGTGTGAGTGAGACAGGCTTGGGTGTACAGCCTTTTGTATGCTGGCTTTTCATCCTGTCTGAGTTGATGCAATGAACCCCAAAGCTGTTTGTCCAGAGGAGGTGGCCTTGTGCTACTTTCAACCCTATTTTGCCTGCTAATGAGGAAGGAGAAGTTTAAAGGGGTTTTCTGTAAACTAGGTCTCTGTGTCAAGAGTTTTAGTGAAATGCTTTTCTTGGTTATATTTTACTCCTGTAAAACCTTTTGCCAAAATGTCTTATTTCTGTCACTAAATTAAAAGAAATTCTCTTAATGAAAGCGTAGTAGCATTTTCTCCGGACGTGAACTTGAGGTAATAATGAACCAAAAGGCTTTTAAAAAGTCTTAAATAAATGTAGCTACTTTGGGCAGCTTGTGGCTTAAAATCTGGAGTGTAACAGGTGTTATCTGTATTTTGCTATTGCAGTTGGATGCATTTATTTTCTTAGTCACAGAATTCCAGATACAATAACATTTAAAGGAAGCAATTTTTAAAAAGTAAATCCTAAATTTGTTAGTATTTCTAAGATCATACTTTCAGGTGTAGCTACAGAAGTGTTCATGTTAGTATATTTTTCTGTCCTCCCCACTATTCTTTTCTAGATTTTTAGTTAATGAGTTCCTTTTCCCAATTTTTCCATACAACACCATAAAATTTTACAGTTCTTTCTGATCTATTTTAATGTCCAGTTGAATATTAGAGTTATACTCTGCAATATTTTTTTAAATGTATACAGTGAAATACTAAATTGGTGAATTTTTCTAAATATCTAGATGTTGAACACTTCTCTGTAACCAAATCCAAATATTATTTATGAGAAATAGTAAAATATAATTTCTTTTGAGTTGAAATTTCTTACTGTTAATGCAAAGCTTCTTGAAAGGATTGGTAACATTAATAACAAATAATAGCATTCTGAATATATTTATTTACTGCTGGTATATTACAATTTTGTTATCTTTAATAAAAAGAGAAATAAGAAATGCTCCATTACACTGAAATCTATTTGTGTTTGATTCCTAGAAAGTTTTTTCTCTGAAGAAATGGCCTCCAGCACTGGAGATGAAAAGGGCGTGAATCCTGTGCTCAGAATAAGTCAACTTGATGCTCTTGAACTAAACAAAGCCCTGGAACAACTCGTGTGGTCCCAGTTTACCAACTGTTTTCATGGATTTAAACCAGGGGTGTTGGCTCACTTTGAACCAGAAGTAAAAGCATTTTTATGTCTTATATTATGGAGATTCACTATCTATTCCAAGAATGCAACTGTGGGACAGAGTATTCTGAATATTCAATACAAGAATAACTTATCTCAGACAGAGAAATACCAACCTCTGAGCAAACAACAAAAGTTATGGTATCTTATTTTCACTGTTGGTGGAAGATGGTTGGAAGAAAGATGTTATGATTTATTTAGCAATCGTCAACAACAATCTTTCTCCAAAATTAAGAGCTATATTAGCTTTGGAGCTGGACTTCTAAAACTTTGTGGAGTTCTAAATTTTCTGATTTTTCTTCGGAAAGGAACATTTGCAACACTTACAGAACGCATTCTAGGAATTAGGTCAGTTTTTTGCAAGCCGCAAAGTGTTCGTCAGGTAGGATTTGAATACATGAATAGGGAGCTCTTATGGCATGGCTTTGCTGAATTTCTGATTTATCTACTGCCACTTATTAATGTACAGAAACTGAAACTTAAAATTTCTTCTTGGTGTTTGCCTATTGCAGGTCTTTCCAATAGTGAAAACACATTAGCAAACCACTGCAGGGAATGTTCACTGTGTGGGGAATGGCCTACCATGCCTCATACCATAGGCTGTCCACATGTTTTTTGTTACTACTGTATTAAAAGTAACTACTTATTTGATATGTATTTTACATGTCCTAAATGTGGCTCAGAGGTACACACTCTTCAACCACTGAAGTATAAAATTGAAATGACAGAATTGCATGTCTGATATGCGGTTGATTTTGTTTTATACAATAAATGAAATATATTGAAGAGATTAATGGAAGAATTCAGGGGCTATCGGAAGCTTAAAGATGGTTTTGGAGACTCTGTAATTTGTCGTAACATATATTTTTACTGCTCTTAGGTTTTTTATTGAGTAACAGTTCTGTGATGCCCCGTCTGCTTGCGGGTTTAGGGGAAGGTGGTTGGATTTACTCCAGGTGGTGCATGGGAGAAACAACAAAATTCTCAGGAGGTTCAATAACAACTTTTACTTGCAAACTGTAGAACATTCTGACTGAATAAGGCACTTGACAGACTTAAACTTGATAATCTTTAACTCATCCAGACACAACAAGGCACTTTAATAAGGCATCTACTGGAACCTTTTGGTCTGGCTTACAATATATTTTGAGGAGAAGAAGGTAGGAGAAGAGAGAGGTAGGTAGGTTATCACCACCCTAGGATACACTGTAGTCTCAGCAGCTTTTAAATCCAGAAGCCCTGCTGTTGAGTCACGAGGTGCAGAAAGTATCCAAACTTAGCTTCGGATTTTGTCAGCAGTTTAAATTGAAGGAATTATAGAGGTGTGATGGAACCACTTTTGTCCTGCAGGTTTTAATGATGGCAAACCAAGAATGTTTATATAAAATGAATCATTTATTATTACAAATGATCAAACAAAGATCTTAACCAGAATTATTTACTATACAATATGAATGCTAAAACTACTACTAGTATAGTATAAGATAGGACAGCACTCTATATTGAAACCATTCTTGAAGCAATTATATTAAGGGAAGCAAAAAGAAATAATTATAAAGTAGAGATTTAATGTAACTCAGCCATACCAACGCTTGTGGGGAGATCTCTTTCGCTCAACTTCGAGGAATATCCTTGGGGGTCCTCCCCAGCCCGAGGGAGGAATGTCTACACATACACTCAAGAAGAGTTATGTTAGAAGAACCTGACTCTATGAAAGGGGACTGGACTTTTATAGTATAAAAGTGATTGACTGCTACTCGCAAATTTGCAGGCCAGCTACCAGCTTATCTGTCACATCCAACTTTAAAAAGCAGGATTTGTGTTTGGAATATGGTGAACCAGTCTGGTTTTAGCATAATTCAACACCAAAAACATTACCATGGCACCACTGGTAACTCATCACAGATAAGTTGCATTGTTTGCATTCTCTGATCAGATTCTGGGCCTTATCAGGGTAGACCCTACTGCCACATGCATGTGTCACCATCCTTTTATCTGTTCTGGTCTGCTGGGGCCCTTCCCCAGGTGAGTTGATGCTGATTTCAGAACTGAAGTCTCGTGGGTGTGTTTGCACAGACCCAGAATTGTTCCTGGTGGGTCCATGTGGTCGACTGCCCCTGTTACCATGTGGATGGGTGGCTGACTTCCTAAAGTCACTGCACACCACAGTGTGAGAAGACTCAAGGGGGCAGGGGGAGCAGTGCACAGCCTTCCTACTCAGAGCTCACCTTCTTCCCCCACTGCTTCCCACCTGGTTGTTTTGACCCAGTCAGCCATTCCTCTGGTGTCCTACAAGTGCCAGCTTGGCTGTGAAGCAAAGAAAACAAGTTTAACAGCTCTACTACTCTCTCTCAGACTACTTGATCCCAGTTTAGTACCCCTGTGTTGTCAAATCATTTGTTTCTAGATCTAGTTTATCAGCCTGCCACTTCTTCACTGCATATTATATACTTCCCTCAAAGACAGAGAGGACACCCAGTAAGCTCTTAACCATTTTGTGTATTTTCTTAAGCTTCTTGTAAAAGTTTGGACCATTACTAACTTAGCTAGTAGATGCATTTAGTGGAACAGTCATCCTTTTCGTGCCTAAAGAATAATTTTAAATTTGTTTATTTATTATTCCCAGTGTGGTGTTTCACTACAAAAAGGAGAAGATGTAAGATGAATTGTCATTTCAGCAGATTTTGAGTTTTTATCATGTTCAACTACCATGACAGGATACAACACTAACTCAAAATTGTTTTCTTGTTAATAGACCATAAACTGTGTGATCCAGCTGGTAGATAGGTAAATACCCCATAGTTAACATGTGCCTACAGGAGATATAACCACCTCCGGTGCAAATACGGTGCACCTTTTACACCTTCATGAGTTGACTGAACTAGTTTCCTCAGGCAACTGTGTCTCTGATCTTCAGTGACATATATATGACCTTCCACTTCCCTGCAAAGTTGAGGGATGAAGTCCATCATTCACTGGAATGTAGCAGCTGCCAAGGGTAACTTGCACTCTTCTTAGTCTGAGACACTGGAGAAAACTGTTTACTCACAAGATGCTGTCTGTGGGAGTTGACGCTCTTCTTTTTTTGATGTGATCAAGGTGGATGCCAAATCTCACTAACAGTTCACCTCCACATAGAAAAAAAGTTCAAACACAGTTATGTGCATGTTAATGCATTAAAATAGGTAGCTTTCCTGCTCTTTGCTTTCACTGTTTGGTTTCTTATTTGGCTTTGCAATGGTGTTATTGTTCTAATACTTTATCCTTTTATTCTTCAACCTGGTTTTATAAGATTATTTTTTGTAGTTCTTTTTTAACAGGAAGTCTTACCCAGAAGAGTCTCATTAACACAAAAATACATTTAATCCTCTTTTGACTCTTACATTTTCAAAAACTTATACAGATGATTTGAGTAAATAACTTTATGGTGGCTGTGTTCTTGATTGGCTATCATCAGTAGTCAGTCCCAAAAATACTATGGTAACGACTGATCCAATATCTTTGATCTACTTTTGTGAAATGATTTATTACATTCTACATTCTACGTTCTGATTAAAACAACCCACCAGCCTATTTGTTTGAAGATCTTAAATTCTAGGTTTTGATCTTTAGAGTGACACACTTCGCTTTCATCTGATGCAATTAAATATAGTTTGCGAGTTTGTAACTATCTTTGGGCATCCCAAAACTTCATTAATTCTGCTACTGTTCTGTGAGTCAACAGAGACTTCAGAGCAATTGCTTCCACATAGTGTGCCGCAACGTTATTAGCCGTCAAATGTGTATATTAGCAACCTACCATATTTCTGTTATTTGCTGTTGCAATTGGAAACAGCAGGAGCAAATCTGTCTTCAGTAGAAGAATCAAAACTGGCAAGGGAGAGTATCCTGGATTCACTTCCTGATCCTGAAGACATTTTGTGTGAATTGTCCCTCCACATCTCTTAATACCTTTTCCCGAAGATATGTATTAGCAACCATGACTTTGAGGTGGTCTAGTGTCTCCAGAAAGTATCATCCACATTTCTGCTACCTCTGTCTTTAATAATCCTTAATTAAGATCTTTTTGCATCCAAAATCCAGTGTTTGTAGCCTAGAATCATAGTAGACCTTTGTTTGCTGTGAACTCTCTTTATTCTGAAATTGAAGTCACAGTGCAATATTTTGTCAAAGGAGCATGGATTCTCTATAGTGGCCTCTATTAGGTGTCATGTCCTTCTTAGATAGGAGTTAGCTTCTTTCCTATTTAGAAATGTTTAATTTTTCAGAATATTTAAAGAATGTTATCTTCCTTTTTCATTTCACCTTTCTCTGTCCTGCTGTTTGATTTTCCTAATCTGTATGAATTTCTCGAGGTTTGTTTTGTCTCTTGCAGCTTCATCCAGGTACACTGTCAGTACAAAACCTGTTTCCAGCAGTTCAGTACCTCTGTTGTACAGCTAGTTTTTGCCAGCTGTGCTATATTGCATTTGACCTCACTGTTTTTCTTCTGGAAGTGAACTTTTGATACTTAACTTCTGATGACTTATTATACCAGAGCATTGGCCTGCTAATGTAGCACCTCCTCATCACTGTGTTGGCTTTGTAGCCCATAGAATTGACCAGGTTTGTAAAGTCTGTTTCTTGTGTCATAACCAAACAGTTTGTGTTACCATAAGATCCTAGATCTTAAGGTGAGGGTTTAGTTCTTTTATTTCCCATGCAGGTAAGCAGACACCAGGCATCTCACAGTAGTAGAAGGTTTGGGAAGAGAGTGGTTCTTTTAGTCAGATAAAGAATTATTTAATTTTTTTTAATCTACCATATGGTGAAACCTTTGCTCAGTTTAGTCACAGCTGAGATTGATGAGACCAAGGTTCCAACTTACGTATTGAAAAACTACTTGCAGCAAGTTAGCTTTTTAGGGCTTCAATATTCAGCATCTTCCTTATAGCACTTGAAAATTAAATATATACCTTTTTTTGTATTGTAATTCTGTTTTGTTGTGTCTCGTGATATATAAGCTGCAGAAAAGGCTTACTTGAAGATATTACAGGAAAAAAAAATCAGATAATTTGTAGACTAATCAAGGGATAATTAGTTTTATATACTACTATATCTGGCAATGCTTCCTGCAGTAGAGGGAATAAAATTTATTTTGGAATGTTAATCTCTAAACAAAAGGGTTTTAGTGTTCAGCTACCATGAGAATGTACTTCTGAGTAGTCATTGGTGAAAAGGACAAATGCCTAGAATTTAAGGAAGCTAAAGGACCAGAACTTTTATTCAGTCTTGGATAGGAGTTACAGCCTTGTATTACCAGTTTTCTTTGTGCTCTGTTGTTCATCTTTGTGTGCTGCATGAATATTTTAATTGTATCAAAAATCAGAAAATGAAGTGGTAACTGAAACAGATCGATTATATTATAAATATACTTGAAAACTTTTCACATCTTCATTTGAATGAGAATTACCAGTTGCCACAGTGTGATTCAGGACACATTCAGCTGAAAGGAGTCAGAGAACGCTGATTCCTTGCTTCCACAAGCTACCACCAGTCCTTCTACTCTATACGCTTTAAGAGAGGTTTTATTTAAGTAATGTTATACAAGACTTAAAAGCAGTATTTTCTGTAAAAATATTCTGTAAAAAAATGAGAATGATAGTATCTGATTTCTGCATTACCTGGAAATATTTCATTTTTCCATAAATGATGGGCAAAGATGATCTCAATGAAGAGAAGATGTGAAGAAACATAAGAGATATATATTTCCTAAAAATCTAATGAATGTCCTTATTTGAGAATACTACAATTGTTATCTGGGATGTATCATTCATATGAAATCCAAGTTGACAAATAAATTATACTTTTTTAACAGGAGGTTCTGAAGTTTGCCTTTTTCTTTTGA